ATATTTAGTTCTCTCTCGAATTGGCATTTGCCAGCGACGATATAACTTTTGTTCTTATCGAGAAACTTAATAGAATGTTAAAAATCGATTCATAACAGACACATACGGGGCCTTCTATTTTTGGCTAATCGTCAGTATGGAAAATATAATAGAGACTTCTCGGCTATTCCCGCCAAGCGGCTATCTCGATCATGAACCGGCCTGCTATCGGTCCCCCGATCGATACTCACAAAAAGTGATCTAACACGTCTGCGCGTGGGTGCGCAAAGGCGTGTAGCGTAAAACAGGTACCAAGTTTACCGTATTTCCTCTCTATTCGTCGCCCTCCATTTATAAAACATGAAAAGGCAGCCTTGCCAGAAGCAATCCCCTCGGCAAATAAACACCGAAACACCTGCTTGTTGTAATGTTTCCTTTTAAATCATCCCCATCACACATAGGCACTCGAAAATATCTAGAGCTACTAAAATACGCTGGCAATGGATTTTTCCGCCGTGGCGCGAGGGAGAAATTTCTCGTGTCGTCTCACATGAATGGAGCGATGTATTCGGCCGGTGGGGCCTGGGAGTCGGGAGGCGCATCGCGCTGCTCGGGCAGGAAGAAGCCAAAATCAATGCGCGGAAGTCGTTGTGGGTGGTGTTATGCGATTTCGCTTCGCCGCCGTATTTTCTCTTCTTGATAAAATGAGCAAAAGGAGCGATTTAAAGTATACCCGGCAGGTGGTCCGCCTGAGTGCAGTCTTTTGTTCCTATTGTCACAGATGATTAGCGATTTGCCGCGACGGAGAGGTTATCACCGTGGGCTGTCTGCTCACCGAGCACTAACGCGCATGCACCAAGCTCAAATGGCTTCTCCTAAACTGATGTTGTCTGGACAGTGATAGTACTTCAACATCTTCCTAAGATTTATCTATTTTTCTTTTTAGGTGGAAAGGGAAACTAAAGAAAAACGTAAATTCCCTTTGATGTTACTAACATTGAAATTAAGTACCACTTTGTCTTTTCTTCGAGGAAATTTTAATAATAATCAAAGACCAGACAAAAAAAGTGCTACTGGCAGCGGTTACTGTGGTGCGCTTTTATTTTTAGTTAAACGCGCACCAGATTATGATTGTGATCTCTAGCAAAAAATACTCTGTTTTTATGACATAATATGCATTGAGGCAATCAGTATTCGTCAGTTATCTTGTTGGCGTAAACTACGGTAAGTAAATGTAGTTGATGTTTCGGGGCGGATGACAATTTTTGCTTAAAAGTGAGGTTTCTTCAAACATCGTAAAACAAAATTGAAACAGGGCCATCAAATTATACTGTATCATCAGTCATTCAGTAACAAACCATTAAACTTAAAAAATAATTGAACTACTGGTAGTCGAAAATAGCAAAGGCGTATGTTACTATAGCAATATTCATTTGAAACGCAATACAATTTCCTTTAGAATATCTAAAAGACAATGACTTGTAAAGGCCTGATTTTTAAGAAAAAATGGAAAGGTGTATATAATATCGCTTTAACACTAATTAAAATCAGCAACATAAAGAAAACGAAATATAAGCGACCACTCTCAGTTGATCGCTAAGCATTTACTTTTGTGACATGAGTGTCATGCGTCATGATAACGTAATGCTCCACCGTGAAGTAGCAACCTAAGATAGATCGGCTGAAATCGTCCGTTCTCAACTTCATTAGAAAATACACCTGCATGTGGGAGTCACTGCACTATAGTGTTACAGCGGAGCGTCGTTCTTTTAGAGCCGCACAAAGTTCCTACTTTTCCTCCGCCCTTTACGTTAATCTTCTTCAGTTTTTTTTTTTTTATCCTCTTATCTATATTCTATTCAATTCGACTTTTCTTGCATCAATTTCTTTTTCGTCTCCATGTCTGTCTATTTAAGTATAGTTATATGTTAAAGAAAAAGGTTTCAAAATATTTGTTTTTGTATTTGTAATATGGTTAACAGCTACATAATGGTTCACGACTTACGTGAATGTCTACAGCTCCATCCCTTCTCTCTCTCTCTCTCTCTCTCTCTCTCTCTCCAATTCTATCTCATTCCTCTTCCCTCTTCTCCTTCTCATTCTTCTCCTCTCTCTCTCTCTCTCTCTCTCTCTCTATCTCCAATTCTATCCCTCATTCCTCTTCCCTCTTCTCCTTCTCATTCTCTCCTCTCTCTCTCTCTCTCTCTCTCTCTCTTTCTGCCTCTATCTGGCGTGGCCTTTCCGTTTCTTCTCTCGTTGTCTTCTTCTGTCTCAATCAATTGATAATTGATTAATAATATAATAAATTTGTGTTTAAACACCGTGCCTCTTCTTTGTGAATGACATTATGATTTGGCATGACGCACGAGTGTTAAAAATGATACAATGGTCATAAAAGCAGTTTCTATATCTAAATATCATAATCTTGTTTACGTCGATGGGGAAAATGTGAAAGTTGACTTTGAGACAGAATATTATTAGAAGATGTTTATTGAAGAACTTTAAAGAGACTCGGAAACATTTCCTCAGACTCTGAAACAAAATCCTGGATTTAGATCATAATACGTTCGACCATGAAGTAGCTAATTTTAATTTCTTTGAATGATAGTATATGATGTTTTTCATTCCTGCCTTACAGAATCCGAGTCAGAGGAACCAGAAGACTCTGAAGAACCCGAAAGTTATTATAAACCTTCAGGTCAGTCAGGAATCGCATGACTTCTACAAGCCGATCGCCTGTCTGATTATCAAGATATTTATGATTGGAAATCGAAATCAAATTTTACGGTTTTTATAACACTACAGTCTATTGGGGAAAATGAGTATGGTAAAATCGGTCACTCAAATATTTAACTTTTTTGAGGCATTCATGATTATTTTGAAGCGCAAGTTTTTAAGGGCTTCAGTATTACACCATAATCACAGACACTGATAACACATAGGGCCATGCATCTCATATTTCACATTGTTAAACGGTGCCTTTAATGTTGGAATCTTATTTGCAATTTGATGATTTCGTGATGAATATGGGGAATGTGGTCTCAGGGTAGTTGCTCGAACTAAAAGTTCTTGTGAGATTTCATGACTAATATTATACACTCATGAAAATGTTTCAGCTTTAAAAAGTAAGGTTTTCCCAACTATATGGCCCCTACGAAACAATATAATTTAAAAGTTGGTCACAATCGTTTGTAAAGAAAATATTTATTAACACAATAGTTAAGAGGATCCTGTCATTTGCAGAAGTGTTTATCGTCTAACATATACAGAATACACTCACCTATATATCCCGTCATTTTGATCTAAATATCGTCCAATTAATAATTATTGTTCACATTCGACCATAATCGACCGAAGCATAAAAGAAAGTTATCTGCAGACGATCTACAATTCGAAGTCTTATTACCAAGAGTCATTAAAACACAGAAAATTGATGACAATGCCTAAATATTCAATTTAAAAAAATAAAAATTCTGTGCTTTTTTTGTTCTGGATTATACGATACTTGAAAGTCAAAAATTTCAATTGCATTTAACTATAACAACCAAATTTCGATCATATTAGTGGCGTCATTTTAAAAAACGGCAATGAAGCTTAGTTTTGTAAGATTAGATGCGTGTAGTAAGTGGTACCTCATTCTACAGTTCAGTAAGATTATTGGGACATGCACAATATAAGTGAAATGACACCATTTTGCTAAAATCCACATAAATGAAAATATAAACAAAGATTACCTCGGAAGCGGAAGTTATGTGAAACCAGTTGTATTTGAATATGAGAAGATTTAGAAATCTATCTCGAATTAAAATGAAACGATGACTTTTGTAAATGGGTCCAAACTTTATTTTTTACATTCTGTGGATTTTACAAAGCGATTTAAAGAGAGAAACACATTAATTCATTATATTTTGTACAAAAATGTGTAATTAATATGATCCACATTTCCATTAATTCATTATTTTTTGTTAAAAAATGTATAATTATTATGAACCACATTTCCATTAATTTAAATGCAATTTCATGGCATGTGAAAAAGACGAAAATCGCACTAAAATCCTAATATTACATTTACAGTACATGCCATTACAATGCTCGATATATTTTCACGAATCACCACCAAAATAAGGCATAGGGAAATAGTAATCCCCATTACTATCGATATTTTGGCGTTTTTTTTTTCTTCATGATATGCTTGAGTGAAATGGATCAAATTGCTCGCAATCATACTAAAAGGACATGCATGCAAAAAAAACGATTATTATTAGAATTATCATTCATTCCTTTGGCAGTGTATAGTCATGTTTAATTTATAGTCACTCTGTAAAGATTCATTAAATTGTATTGGTAATATTTACTTGCTCATTATCAATATACAACCCAACCCCAATTCCAGTGCACTATCCTACATGCTGCTATTACGATACGCTCTCCCCATGTCAGAACAAAAATATTGACATAAATTCATAATGACATTTTGTTGCCATCGCAGAAATTCATTAAGCGTTAAAATCGTCTGGCTTGATTAAACACACATAATGCGCCCAATGCATTGAATATGAAATAGAAAGAAATGATGATAATAATGATGGTATATACCACCTCCGTTCAAATGGAACAGCCTTCACACTTGAATAACCAATGGGAGCACTCGATAAATTTATTCTTTTATAATCGGAGAGAGTCGGATGTTCGAACACGCGTTCAGATATGTATTACCGTCTCGTCGTCTACAGCACGCGTCGGAGGGAATATACGAGCTATATTCTCAGGGCGCAGGCGCACGACCGTGCCTCGATTTGAAACGAAATCGGTACCATTAACTCCTCATCAGCTAAACTAAGGGGGAGGGAAAGCTAAAGTGAGCGCATCAAAGACGGGAATTTTACTCAGAGCGAGGCCAAAACAGTTACACCATTGCCACTCTGAAGGCAGACAGTCACGGACGAATCGTTTGTGCTCACAAACGGTGCTTCGATAGGATTTCACGAGGGCGGAAGAGAATATTTCGGTTGTAATTTTTGTTTTCAGGCGTAGCCATCGATCCCACGATGACACACTCTGGTAAGTATGATCTACTATATTATTCTGGCATGCATATTACTTATATATACACATTATGAACAGATAATGTTTTATGAGTATACATCTTTCATCTTAGTATGTCTGTGATTATTTATCAATGTTTTGTAAGTAGAGTTCTCTGGCTCGGAACTTTAATCTAATCTCATGTTTAGTTCTTTTAAGACCACACGGCATTCTTAATTAAATTTCCCAACAAAACACACACACACACACCCACCCACACACAATATATATATTTATAGATGTATGCATCTTTTACGGACGATGTACTTTGAAAACAAAGCTTGTTGCTATGGGAGATTCTAACAAATCAACGTTTACTTGAGATATATTAACTAAACCCATTGTGATCCATGTAGACATAATTATTACTAGCCGTTTTAGACCATCAGCACTAAAATAAGCCTTTTAAGTGCCATGGTCATTGTTGCTGTAGTAGGTTATTAACCGCATCTAATCTACAGATTGTAGTATTTTTTAATTAACCGAATTCTTATATGATTCAGGTGCATGGGGTGGTGTTTTTTTAGTAATTACTGTAATTTGCATGAAATATTAAAGTCATAAAAACATATCCTTTTTTACCACATATCTTTTAACCTATGTCACTGACGTGTATTATGTTCCCTATAATATAGCAAGAATTTTAAATGCAAATATTATATTAAAATGAATTTCATAGAAGAATTATTATACCGCGTTAACTATAGCGATTAACATTAACTTGAATTAATCATTATCACCATCGACATTAAGTTTTACAAATCGGATTAACGGATCTGTAGAGCAAAGACCTCGTTGACGTTTAGACATTTTATGGAATCAAATTCAATTGTACTAAACCAGGTCAAATGAACTTTTTTACATGACTATAGGTTTGATAAATTAATTTCTACTATTATTCAAACATATTATTATTTCAACCACATGAGAGCACTTTTTTAATTAGTACAACTGACACATATTATAGAAGTGACCTTTAAAATGAAAATAAGAATCATGTTCATGGTTATCAGATCCTGGTGTGTAAGAAAGACCTAAGTTCACTATTTATGATATGAAATTCCAGTTTTAATATCTACAGCGCTAGGCTTTTCGCAACATTACGGCCATTGCACAATAATGCGGTAAGATGGAAAAAATAAGAACTGTTAAAGAGCTTCGGAAATACCCGGCGTTAACAGCCTCCCCCCCCCCCCGCCTTTACCTAACAAATGTCCCGGGGTATGCCCTCAGGGCAGTTTGCCCACCAGTTTAGCCCTTTATGGATACGCCTCTGTTCATTTGTTGTGCATTTACTTGTTGGAATATTATATACTAGTAGGAGATTTGCACAACGTGAGGGCAATGATGTGTCAGATCTTTTGATACTTGCCACAAAGTTGGTCGGACACACTATGATTTCCTTTATGTAAGGCATTATACTTGTAATGTGTTTAAAGTTATAACATAATCATAAAATATTAGTTACTGTTCCGACAATTAACATGATAAAATAAAATATATTTTAAAAAATGCGTTAAATATTTAGAATTGAGCTTCGATGTGGCTTCTTTTTGAAAACTTATCATGATCATCGTCATCATTATCATCATCATCATCATCATCACCATCTTCATCATCATCATCATCATCATCACCATTGTCATCATTATCAAACACACTAAAATATTACATTAAAAAATTACTTTGATCAGGGAATATTACTATTTTGAGCATAATGATTTTAGCTTTATAAAATTACTAATTGTAATCAATAGTTTCCTAGAGAAGAATTTATGATAAGAAATAAAATGATAGATTATGAAAACAGACTCGATGGGTGCTCTTTTACCCTCCACGATTAAGATGATGCTCAGAACACCTGCCATCCGTTCAGGTTTAAAGACACAAGAGAGAGCAAGGTCTATCCTTCTTAACCTCACCAGGCTTAACGTCTCGTATACGTATTCGTCCTTGCCATAAACTTGAATTATTATTGGTTCAGACAAATCAAAATGGCAATGTGACATAATTATGTCCTCATGAACTAAGTCCAATCGCGGGAGTAGTATGGTAATATTTTGTTGGTGTGTGTGTGTGATGACGATGGTAATTATGATAATAATAATGATGATGATGGTGATCATGATGATGTGCAGCATTTATATGTCGCCATATTTCTTTTTTTTAAAGCATTCTATAGGCGTAGAAATCTACCTTAATATTTCTAAACATCAATTTATATGTACGAAATGGATTATCCTTTTGGTATATGGACGAAATAAGTTGGATTTGTCTGGCATGCAACTAATTGCACATCCATTGGAAGGAATTGTCTGAGGATGAGTTCATCAATGTATATGTGATGATGTGTCAATCGTATTCTCATGATCAGAAAACTTGTTTACTGTCTTTATAGAAAAAGGGAAACGATATCAGTAAATCACAACCAAATAAAATAGTCCATTTTCACAACACCTTTTTAATGAGAGTACTTTGAATCCGAGTTCTTGGATTGATGTTTATTTTCAATCTATATAATGAAACACCATATATATTTCGCCAGTATTGCTTACGAAATATTATTTCATAGTTTGCCGCATTTTCTTCTACACTCTATGACCTTATACATTTGTATTCATATCAGCTGTCCACACTGCTTTTCAGCTTCAGCTTTTATTGAACTTCTTTCCTGCAAAATCTAAAAATGCATTGCCATTCCAATATAATAACTCATAAATTTCTTGTGTGATATGTATTTTGTTTTGAAGCTTCTATCTTTCTTAACCAACCTCCCCCTCCCCCCCCCCCCCCCCCAAAAAAAAATATATATATATATAATATATATATATATATGAATAATAATAGTAATGATAATGATGATAGTAATACTAATACGAATGTAACCCAAAGTTCGTGCAAGCGTCACTAAAGATTGGTTCGAAACGAAGTCGTTGCGCTGGTGCCCTTTGGTAAGGCATTAATCCTCATAAAAAGGTCCCTCGGAGAGGACCTAAAGCAGTCAGTCCTCTTGTTGCTTACAAACAAGCATTTATGTATGCTTTCTCAGCAGTCAGGTAAATTAACCACCACACACAAGAAGAACAAAGACAGAGAACCACAAATATAAAATAAGTAAATTCGACGGATTTCATCACCCCGTCCACGTTCCCTCATCTGACCAAAACCAAACCATTTCCAAACTGGCGTCAGCCCAAATCATCACCATTCTATATGGATGAGTCGGTTGAGGATAAATCTGTACCATTCATCAATGGAATAAAATCACTTCGGAATGAGCGCTGCAAATAAAGGTGGAATATTTATCTCTCAGCTATCTTTCTGCACTTTTAGACTGACCCTAGCTCTCTCACTGATCGAATGGTGAGTCTGCTTCTTCGGATCATCAGGCCATCAATGGGCATCAAGTTAGCCCAATCGATTTTTTTTTGTTTAACCCAAAATTCTTACTTATAGCAGAAAATCTCATTCATATACATATATAATAATACGTCATAATCGCCTTTGAATGAGCGCTGCAAATAAACATGGAATATTTAACTTTTTGATTGTTAAATGCAGCTGACCTTTGTATCTTTAGATCATTAGGGCATCAAGGGGCATTTAGTTGCTAGTCAACCGAATCGATTATTTGTACCAAATTCCTTGTGTAACAGACAACTTCCTAATGCATCAGTTTGGAGAGTGATGCATAATATGCGTGAAGGACTTTTCCCTGCATGCAGATACAAGATTGGATTGGCAATGTAAGAAATAAAGTGCTTTAAAGCGTAGCTTTGAATTGACAGCTATCCAATTTCTTCATCATGTTTTTCAGATTTACACCTGTTACCATATAAGCTTCAACAAAATTAAAAGAATATTCATCATTGTGAGTATGGTGAATATGAAATGATGATGATGAAACGATAATCAATTGTCCATTTACATTAAAGATACATGATAATATATCAACAAGTTTGACGTACTCTTCATGAATTCATATCAATTACCTTTTTGTATAGAACTTTCTGAATGAAAAAGGGATGATGTCCATAGACTATCAATTAAAACAAACGATTGATGACTCAAACCTTAACAAATAAATATTTTATTTTTGGTGTAAAAATATGTCTTGAAAATCAATTGAACCTTAGGATAATTTGAATTTCTAGAAAATTCAAATGAAACATGAATTTTCACTTTTATCATGATAATAGAAATCTAAAACAAATGCACGTAATACATCTTGCAAATTATGCAGAGTAAAAAAAAGAGTCCTAAGTTAACGTTTATAAACTTGACGAAGAAACAAAAGGGCCCCTGAAATGCCCTTAGAGTAATATACTTCTTTTCATTTTATAAAAAGTCACAAATCGTGTTTAAGAAATAAAAAGAGGAATCCCTCCCTAAAGGTAAAAAGCATGACCTTTCACAATTTTTAATGAGCGATAAAAGTACGATGGCCAAATAAGTAATGAATGATTAAGATGTGTATTAAAGTTTAAAAGAGATATGTTAATTTAAAATTATTTTCAATTCATCTCTGCACATGTCTTACATCATAATAACGCCGCCAGCATCATTTAGCATAGAATATTTTAGACAGGCGATAGAAAAAGAAGAAGAAGAAGAAGAAGGAAAAAAAATAAGTAAAATTCAAAAGAGTGGGTTTAGGATAAGAAGAAAATTATGATGAATAAAATACACACTCAAAATATAAATAGATAAGAAAAAAGGGAAATTAAGTTCACAATAGAAAGCTTTTCCCTATTCTTCTGTACCTACATGTATGTATTTAGATGGTGTCCTTGACTCGAGCAAGGTATATGTGCTTTATCCTGCAAACAAAATATTGTTCAGCATACCAGTACCACTGTGTAGGTTTACCTTCGACACTATGCATATGATCCGCCTGGTTGTTTAGAAGGAGAGATCGCTTAACTAAAACAAATTATCCTTTTTCGGGGGGGGGGGAGGAGATGTTGGTAGATATCTTAAATTTCCACTTTCCCAAATATTGTTTACCCTTATAAGAAAGATTTTCCATCGATTAACGACTTCAATACTTTTTTCATAGCTCTCCCTCTTTTATGTCTTAATGGCAGGATTTTGTTAAACTGATAATGCCGACCACTCTATACCGAATCTATGAAAATATTATGGCAATGAGCAGATCCACGCTATACCAATCATCAAGTTACACGCACATATTTATTGCTCCTGAATTTGTAACAAATAAAGTACAAACTTCCTCCATATATTTTGTCAGTGCAAATGTATCAGGGTCATTCTTCGGTAAACAATTTCTTTGAGTACACACTTTAATAACTCTCCTTGACAGTGATACTTCTCCTATAATATTTCCCAGTGCAATATTAGTATACGCCCTTCCTATCAACTACACGCCTCGATGAGCTTGAATACGGCTCCAATAAGCATTGTCCCCTGGACTTTTATATAACAGAAACCAATATCAGATTCACCTTTTATTATTTTCCTTCTCCCTCCCCTTCTTTTCTGATGCGTACGTATAGAAATTAAAGAAAAACACGTCAAAATTACTCTTGGTGCGATAATTTTCAGCGTGGTGCTCATTCTCCACGCCTAATGGAGATATTTTTTTCAGTTGGTACGAGCGAAGCGTGTAAGAGGAGAATCATGACTTCTCAACTCCCTCTACCCTGTTCTGGTTCGATGAACCATGCTACAGACCCATCTCTCTCCATCACAGTCAACCAGTGTTAAATGTACCATGGGCCACCTTCCTCTCTCTCTCCCCAATATCAATTTTCTTCGCAGAGTTGTGAGCAGATGAAAAACAAGAATAGAAAAGGAAAAGGAGAGATTGAAAGCGTTCTTGTTGTTATTTTTCACCTTGATGAATATCGTTAGAAATAAGAAGTTAAGTCGTGTGTATCAAACTCGACTGTAGCGTTCAAGCCACGAACCACCAATTCTTAACATCCACCGTGAAAAAGAAATATTGCAAATGCCACGAATTTACACTAGAATTCGTTCCTTTATTCTCCCATCTACCCCGCCGACCACGAGCGCTAATATTATTGAGCATGCTTGCTCAGGCGTTACTGGAATCGCCCATTTTTCTGTCTCTCGCAATTTCACACCGGTATGATTTTGAATCAATTTCTGCCCGCCGTGTCGATTTTAAAGATGAAAGAGAAAAAAGGGAAAAGGGAGAGAAAAGGACTTACATAGTATAGGTACTGCACTGTCGGATAGGTCAAGCGAAATGTATTTACTGAGCGAGAACAATTAGAGGCAAAAGTGTGCGTTTCTGAAGACTCTAAGGGCTGGTTATAATGAACACGACAGGAAGGTCGGGGAAAATCAGCACCAGAAAGGTAGAATATACTGCTCTTTCTCTCTCTTTCTCTCTCTGATCTTTAAATCTCTAATATTCCCCACTTTCTCCCTCTCCTTTTATATTTCATTCCTTTCATATTTTGAGTGCCGTGAAGTATGAATAATAATGATAAAACATATTTCCGTTTCTAAGATATCAAGAAACGAGAGAGGTTTTTCTCCTTTTTGATATTGCAACAACAGTTTGTTGATCAAAGAAGCTTGGGCACGCGTGACGCGGCTCTCTCGATCGAGAGAAGAACCACCAAATCGATCGCGATCATTTTGTCGTCATGGTAACGTAATATCGAAAAGAGTCGTTTGGGCGGAAAGTTTGCAGGAGTTATATGATGATGATTATGATTGTAAAGTAATGGATGGCTTGGCGAATGGTTGTGCACTTGTGTGTGAGCAGAGTGCCGCTCAATGGACCGTGTAGTATATGAAACACAAAAGATGATGGGAGGATGCGAAGTCTGCCATGCCACTGGAAATTAGGTCTGATGAGACATTACGATTCATACAATTTGTGATGACGTAAATGAGACTGAATTGAATTATCAGTCGTAAATGACTAAGTACTCGATCAATTCTGATACTGTGCGACCCTCATTTTCAGACGGCCTACGACTTTGTGGTTATTTGGGTGGGTTCGGGCCATGATCATCAAATAATTTATTTAGCATCATCTTACTACGGCGACCAGATGACTGAGTACACTGTCTTGATTTAGAAATACTCAGTATATGCCGAATTCAGAAACAAATGATGCAGATTTGACGTAAAAGTACAACGGCGCATTGGTTACTAAAATGGGTGTGATACCTTTCTGCAGAGGCAAATTTATAAACACTCGGATAAATCGATTTGATGGAAATCAATTAATTCGCATGTCTCATTGTGTTTTATCAAAACAACTTAGCACAAGCTGGCAATGAAGGGAAGTATTTTAATGACTGCTTTACCATGCTTATACGGGATTCAAAGAAGTTTTGATATGGTTAAGAAAAGTAATGATCGGCTTAAATCATTAGATAATAATTAATTCACTATTTTCGTTTCAATTAGTTCTACTATATACGAGTAACATGGTGAAAAGGATGTGAGGACTGAGAAAAATATGTAGAAATAGATATAGAGAAATAAGGATGAGGAAAGAGAGAGATAGTAAAGTCAGGAAAAAGGGGTAGGCCTGGTGGTAAAACTAAATAATGTAGTTATCACAAAGTTGGCAAGTTTCAATTCAAATCATAAAACACATTTATTTATCTTTTTACTGATATAGCAGAGATGGGGATTTTTCGGGGCGGGGGTGAGCGATATTGTTTACTACAAACCTTGGTTCATAATGACATTCATCACCTGTCACTCATACAAGTATATTTAACCGCTAATACATATTAATTATATACACTTTATAGCCCTTATCGTTCGTCGCCACTGACAAAAGATAGTTTTAAATACCGTCTCGCGGGCAGCTGAAGTTATATGCTATATACCAGAAGGTTTTCTGGGTAGAATCCTCGAGATTCGCCGTTACATTTTTTAACTAATCAGATTTTCAGTATTCCTTTTTTTTTCTTGTTCTTTTTTTATATTGCTTTTCTTACATTCCAGTGAGTTCGATAAACAGGGAGAATCTTCTAGCCTAAATCGGCTTGCTATCTTCATCAAATCAGTTAGTTAATCCTACTAAAGTATTTTCCTCCCAATCATGGTTGAAAACGGGGCTTGTGGGGACGAATACGTATCGAGCAATAGTCAAAACAAACAAAAGTACAGAAGACCCCCTTCAGAAATTGTGAATTTTCCCCGAGTTGATTTGTCCAAACGAGTGAGAAGAATAACCATGGTAACGGTATGACTACTCTAGCGAGACGAAACGTCTTTCAGATTAACCACGATCGTCTGCGAGCATCACAAAAATCTAAAGTACGCTGCACCTTTTCCCGCCTCTTCGCTTTGGATTTTTTCCCGCCAAGAACGCTTGGTTGGAGAGCATGGTTATGGTGACGACGCAAAGCATCAAACACGGATATTAAAAGCAAAACAAGAGAAGAAAAAAAAGGGAATATAAAACCACCTACCTTTGATTTGCCAGAAGAAACAAGAATGTAGTATTGCGTGATTTATTAGGACATAATATAATGCAGGTAGGGTGGAGGTGGAAAGTGAGAGAGGTGAGAGCAGTTAGGATAAAGTCATAATTTGCAGCTCACGGTCTTCATGTCTGTGGTATAAAAGCATGTTTAATATTTCGCTTTTCGTTTGATGGTTTCTTCCAACTTACAACATGCTCCGTAATCGGACAAAATTATGACAGTTTGCATTAAACATGAGCTAATGAACACAATTTAACGATCTATTCAAGTTCCCGTTTACGAATTCGCAAACCAGCAAATCATTATAATTCTTGTGTGATTTAATACGGCAATTTTAGAGAGCTTTGGGTATAAATTTTGATACTATATAAGATATTACAATGTTACAGTTGCGATCTTGCTGCCTAAATATGAGGTGAAAGCTTCCCGGGGCTGTAGCCCTTGCCACGCCCCCCCCCCCCCATTACCCACAAAGCCTTGTACGCCTATGGTCATAATGTGGTCTTTAAACTCACGAAATTGTGTAACAGAAGGCCTCTACACCTCTTAGATTTACTTCAACTAACATTGATAGCGGAATAAATCATCTGAATCCTTGTTTTGATTATAAAAATAAAAATAAAAATAATATTCCGTTTTTCATGGAGCATATCACATTGTACGTTACACATCTCTCTGGGATTACGACGCGTTTTAATAATACAGCTTAAAAACTTTACAATATTGAAAATCGTCTTGACGAAGGCCTAGTACTTCAAACTAATCGGACATTATATTTAAAATCTAGCGCAGTATAAATAAACAGATCTTATTGTATTATTGTACTATTTACTTAACCTCGATATACGTGTAGATAGAGCATCGAAGTAGAAGTATATCAATGAACTCGGGATCACAACCTTGCATGTCATCTTCTCATTCAATCTGCCTTTCATTCATGGTTTCATACCTACTTGTTGCAGGTCAGGCTGGCGTCAACCAGCTGGGCGGGGTTTTCGTCAACGGCCGCCCTCTCCCCGTCTGTGTACGGGCACGCATCGTCGAGTTGGCTCAGCTTGGCGTCCGACCGTGCGACATCTCCCGACAGCTTCTCGTCTCGCACGGCTGCGTCTCCAAGATACTCAGTCGCTACTACGAGACCGGTTCCATCGCACCGGGCAACATCGGCGGCAGTAAACCAAAGGTTCGTCGAGCAGATCATTGCTTCCAATTATTTATTGTCTCCGTGATTTGGTAGCGGCGCGCAAACTAGGTTGCAAATTGAAATGGCAACACGACGGGGTGGATTTTTTGAAGGGTGTAATTTGCACTTGAAAGACCAATTATTCTCTTGAAATCTTGATCTGGTAGGTCAGTCTATGCTCTAAAGGCTAGATCAGCGTTTTTTAAACGGGTTGCCGCAAAAGATATTGTGGGGTGCCACGTGAGAAATCTAGTTATAATAAAATTCTTTTTTTCGTAGAACTTCAATTTCGCGAAACCAAAACATTAAAAACTGCTATGGTTTGTTATGAGGAAATATAATTTTCAGGTCATTAAAGTACCTTTCTTCTTTGCTCGCTTCGCTCGCTCGGAACATTTAGAAACAGCCAAACAGGATGATTTCAGACCTCTAAAAGCCTAATTACCTTCATTTTTTTTTACAAACAAGGTACCCTAATATTCTTCTTTTTCCCAGCGAGGTGCCCAAATGCCGCCACGTTTGGGCAAATATCCAATATTTGTATATATCAAAATTACATTATTGACACGCTCGTTCATTTCACTCGCTCGCAACATCTAAAAACGGGATAGCTCTAGGAAACAAGATGCCTATCATATTTATGTATCAACATCATCTAGTTTCATGTATTCGGCAGAGATTTACCCGTATACATAATTTTATATCTTCTATAGTACATGTGTTTTGATTGCAAATTTTTGTTTCGCCACATTCAGGATGTGGCGGGTTCGTATAATTTGGGGGTCAATCGCTTCGCTCACTCGCAAAATTTAGAAACAATTAGTGTACCCTTACATGTATATATGGCACCTGATGAGTGCTAGAGGGATGCAGAATGCATCTTCTATGATGAATTTAAGATTGGGGTGACACTAAACTTTGTATTTTTTAAAACGATGTCGTGTCTTTAAAAAAATTGATAAAACGCCCGGCTAGATACATGTAAATGAATGCAATTCCAGTTTTGCCCACTGACTATTGAATTTTCTTATTCCCATATATTTAATAAATGGAACACTCGGACCTAGTAAGTAATATACTTATATAAACCTATTGATTATCGGACCATCATAATGAATTAATAAATGATTTTTGAATAATGAGAAAATCTTTGTTAATTTATAGGAAAAGGGGAGCGAGATCATTATATGAAAAGGAGGGATATGGTATGATAATGATTATGATATGGTATGGTATGATATGATATCATAATGATATGCTGCATGCTATGATAATGATATGACAATGATATTATATGCTATTATGCTAATTATGTGATTATCATGGTAAGATACAATGCGATATGATAATATTCATATGACTAGGTATGATTATGATTGTTCATAAACGAAATAACATCATTTGATGATAATTATATAAATTCATTCTTCATGTTAAGGATCCTGTGATGGATAGCAAAACTTGTATGCGTGTTAAAACTTTGAGGAAATAGGACGGATATTTTTCTATTTGATCAATTTGAACACCTTCTCTTCGGAACAAAATTAAAAAACTAAATAATAATCTTGAGTAGAAATATAGCACGACAGAACTGCAACAAAAAGTCGATAGCAACCCCCCAAAATACATTACAATTATTAAGGATCCTGTGTTGGATGGCAAAACTTGTATAATATTATGTGTTAAAACTTTTAGGAATGACTTTAGGACTGATATTTTTATTTGATCAATTTGAACACTTTCTCTTCGGAACAAAATTAAAAAACTAAATGATAATCTTGCGTAGAAATATAGCACGAAAGCATTACAACAATAAAATCGTTTGCAAACCAAAAAATACATTACAATTAATATTGTTTTAATGATGACTGTCTTGACCTGAGAGCCCCTAACATAATTTTTTAAGTACAATGTTGAGCCTTTGAGGCCAAGCGCGGAGACCGAAATCTCGTTGCAATCAAACATCTAAAAAAATGGGTTTAATTTGACATGGCGACTATTTCATTATGAGCCAGCTTATTAATACCATATAGCAGATATATAGGATGTACTGTAGTAAATTCCTACAAAAAAAAATTAAATTGTAACGATTATAAATGATTTAGCCAGAGTTTCAATATGATATCGGTTAATTTATTAGAATAGATGAGTGCAAGGAGTAGATTAAAAAACAAAACAAACACTAAAAGTAAAAGTCACTTTAATGTATAAGCAATAGAATGTAGTTAATTACAATAGCCCTAAATACTGCCCTTTTTGTTTAATAGTGAACAACCTCGAAAATGTACACATGGTAATGTTTTCTTGATAAAATCAAGAATATAGTTCGACTACATATTTTCTGTGAAGAGGCAGGTGCATCGAATACATCTTAATCATGCAACAGTGTACTTTTTAGAGTTCATAGATGCTTGAAGCTTATTAAACAGTCCAACTCTGTACTTAATGTACAAAAGATGTTCAAATCAGTATGCAACCGGGACTAAAATCGAATTTTACGACTCGTTCAGTAGGACTATTTAGGATAAGTGTTGTTGTTTTACTTCGAAACTACTAATTTACACCTTAAATTTGTTAGAATTACCAGGAAATTCGAGTATATTCTTAACAATTATATTCATGCATGGAGGTTAGTAACTCCATGATTCATGTCATACACAAAAATACTCATTTAAGGATGCCTTGAATTAAGGAAATTACAAATTAATTCTCTTCGAATTCTTTTCTTTGATTTCATTCATTGTATTTTATTGAATTTGTTTTTGTCGGTACTTGATAATTAAAAGAATAGATATTAAAATTCCTGGAAGAAATGCATGTATCAAAAAATACAATTATCAGATGTGTATTGAATTCTTCGGCATTATACTTCTGTCGCATCTCAATTAGCATGATGTTGTTTAGAAAGGGATGCTATATAGTTGCAACGTTTGATCATTGCAGACTTGTCGCAGTGAAATTAATGATGTATTGTGGTTTCTTGGAATTAATCATGTATAAAGATAATTTGTTTCACGCCTAGCGGGAAAATTTCAACACTTGTGAGCGAGTGATTTTTAATGAGCACGATTTTCTAAGCCAATGGTTCACAAGTACAACGTGTACAAAGTCACATTCTCGTTTATCGCTAGTTGATGCATATGAATTGTTGTTCTTCTTATAATTTGAAGAACGTGAAGAGAGGAAAGAGGAGAGCGCAGGAGGGGGTGGAGGGGGTGTCTACACTGTAAAAGCCAGAGTGTTAAAATTAACACCAAGGGTGTTCAATTTAACACTTTCTCGGTATCTATATCGGACAACTCCTCTGGTGTTACTTAACACCATTTTCTGGAATTAGATGATTTCAATTCCACTTTTGGTGTTAATATTTGACAACTCCTACTGGTGTAGATTAACACCAATATCTGGAATCATAACAAATTCAATTCCACTCTTGGTGGTAATATTTGACAACTCCTAGATCTACTGGTGTAGATTAACAACAATATCTGGAATCATAACAAATTCAATTCCACTTTTGGTGTTTATATTCTTGTTGATCCAATGGTCCAACATTCCACATTTCCTATTAACGACCATTATCGACTAAGGTAGAAGAACCAATGGTAAACTGATAATTCATAATCGATGTTGGCAACTGTCTACCAATAGGTATATTCTAATCTCAATTGCATTAACTCCATCACATAGATCATTTGAAGTAATTTCAAGATTAACATTTAAATGATACAGGCTGGTACACGAATATATAATAAATATGCATGTTGTTTCTTGGTTAGTAATCTTATGATCAATATATCTATTGCTAAAACGTTAATGTAATTGTACCAAGATCAGACAAATAATCTATTGGTCAATAATTGCCAAAGGAAAATACAAATCACAAAATTGATGTGCATTGTCATAATTTGCTTAACACATCATGATAAATGTATTCTTATGTGAACACGTGTAAAATAATCATTAAGCGCACGTACACTTTGTGAAAACTTATTCGACCAATCAACCACCTTAAACGAAATCTTAAACTTAAATCTGACCGGTGTTAAAAATAACACCAATGGTGTCAAAAAAATTCAATACCATACTGGTGTTATAAATTTAACACCCTGGTTTTTGCAGTGTACATAAGAAGGGAGGTATAGGGATAGATATTTTTTGTTGTTGTATAGATTAGGCCTATTAGGAGGAGACACAAAAATTGAACTCGGTCATTTGACTCTTACAAACGACAACCATTCACATGGTTGCTATTTAATTATTTTTCAATAGCTCTGCTGTTATCTTAACACTACAGTTAGTATTATTATCATCATCATTATTAGTAGTAGAAGTATCATTATTATTTTTTATCAATTATTATAATTGTTATCATTATTATTATTACATTTATTATCATTACTATTATAATTATTATTATTCCCATTATAATAATTAACATGATTATTATAATCATTATCATATTCATCGTCGTCATCAATATTATTATTATCATCATTATTATCTTCATCATCAGCAATAGAATCAGCATCATTTTCCTTGTTAGTATATAATATGTGATTTCGATTGTCTCATTGCATACGATAAAGTTGAGTACTTCGATCAATATCAAGTATACCAGTTTGATTTTTTGTTCTATTTTTTTATTTTATTGATCTATTATTTTCATTACTAGGTTGCAACACCTCTGGTTGTGAAGAAGATAATGAGTTACAAACGAAAGAACCCCTCCATCTTTGCTTGGGAGATTCGAGATCGTCTTCTTCGGGAAAGAGTTTGTGATAAGAACACCATACCTAGTATTAGCTCAATCAATAGGATTATCCGCAATGGAACTTACTTCACACATGACGAGGTAACTGCTAATGATAATTATATTAATGATGATGATGATGAAAATAATAATAGTTACAATGATCGTAATGATAATAGTTAAATATATAATAATGATAATAATGATGATATCAATAATATTGACGATGATTATATGATGATATATAGTAATGATAATAATAATGACGATGATATTAATGATAATAACAATAAAATAATAATGATAATAATGATCATAACAACAATTATAATAGTTACGATAATATTAATAATAACTCAATAATTTTACTGGTGATAATAATTATAATACTGATAATAAAGATGATAATAACTATAAAGATAATGATTAAAGTAATATTATAATGATAATAATAATGATAATGATATCAAAAATAATGATAACAATAACAATAATAATGGTAGTAATAATGATAGTAATAATAATAATAATAATAATAATGAAATACATTCTATTAATGGTAAAAATACTGAAATGAATTACGCAAATACTTTACAATAATACTTTAGAGCCTCTCTAAATAGTCGGGAGTCCCACAAATTTTATGGAAAATCTTTACCTAAATTGTTAATGATTTGAAAGAGGATGTCATTTAACACACACTTCTGCAAGGATCTTCAAAACAAATGTGTTCGAAGACGAATATTGATGACAGGATACAAAACTGTGGTTTTCTGCGTACAACATAAAACCAAAATATGGTATTCTGTCGTCAATATTCGTCTCCAAACACATTTGTTTTAAAAATCCTTACAGGAGTGTGTGTTAAATGACATCCTCTTTCACATCATTTTACGATTTAAGTGATTTTTGCCATAATTTGTTGTCAAATTTGTGGCTCCCAACACTTTGATAATTCGTCGCTGTTTTCACGAAGTGACGGTAGTGAAAAAAAATTGCATTCACTTTGCGTTACGATTTTCCTCGTTACCGTCACTTCGTGAAAACAAGGACGAATTGTTGGTATTAAGCTTGTACACTGACTTCCAAGACGACACTGAACACAAGAGATAATAGTATACAACGTCTCCCATTCCTGCGAACTACTTCTTCCATATATTCCGTAAATCTTCTTTCAGATTTATCTCATTATATCATTAATCTATTCTTTCGACGTTACCTAACCTTGTCATGATGAGCTCCAGTTACACAACATCCTATCAAACTTGATCAATTTAAAGATAAACTTGAGTTCTGGTAACAAAAGGAAAATGAATTCTCACATAATCAAATAAAACTTACACTGAATGTTCAAGATTACACATAAATGTCATTTGCAAAAAAATTTGGTAGAAAATGTAAAGTGGCTGAGTAATGAACATAGAAAGAAAAGAAAATCAAGGTGTACTTACCCCGACACCATTTTGTGCAGTCCCATATACTTCTTTCTGTGTATAGTGCTTGTTACTTTACCAAGGCTGGGCCACATTTCTTATCATCTTGATGATTCCACAATCTTGCAGTACACACCAATACTTATATGCTAGATGATCAACCTTTTCTGATCGATTCCACACCGTTTCTTTCACAATGCAATCGCATGACCAGTACTCAACTTTATCTTAAAGCTGAAGCAAAATGATTTCGAGATGTAATTTCGTGAAGTAACATCATGATGTCGTTAAAAAACAGAAAAGGAAATAGTGCATAATTATAAACATGGACATTTGAAATAATCATCATCTTTTGTTCCCATCCTCTCTCTTCGATCCTCAAGGGTAATCCAAGCTCCCTGCCTGCACCCATACCTCGCGTGGCAGCGGGACTCGCCCATGGGAACATGCCACACCCATCGCAAGGCATCATCTCCCCAGACACAACCATGGCACCGTATCTTAGCAACCGCCTCATGGAGCTGGCAAATGAACATCACCGATTGGCCAGTCTTGAAATGACGTCACCAACAGGTAGAACAAACGGTCCAAGTGGAGAGGGCGATGGTAATCGAGTTGGTGTTCGAGGTGGTGAACAGAAGGAGAAAACGGAGACAGAGAATGAAGAAGATGAAGGCGTTCAAACGGACGTAGAATCTCCCACCACAGAATATGCAGGTAAAAACCGTCTACTGCTCAGAGGCTGTTTTACAATACGTATTAAAAACAAAGTATACAACCTGTACATAGAAAACCAATAAATTAAATAATATGTAACAATAAAGAAATAATGAATTTCAGAAAAAAATATTTTAAAAAAAATAGAGGAAAAAATGGGGGAATTCAATTCAATTCAATTCTTTTTATTCATCCAAATACACAAGAATACATGGACACTTTTGGTCACACATTGTAAAAATACATAATATATAAATGAGAAACTAAATCGTTGTTTTCATAATCATAGAAGATAGTAGAAGGCCAAAAAAAAAGAAAGATAGAAAAGGTAAATGAATGTTTCAAAGCTCTAGAAAAAGGAAGTTAGATCATATTATCATAACTATAACTTGAACTAGAACTTTTTCTAAAACTGTAATATTTTGGGGAAAACGTTTCCGAGGAACTGTACAATTTATTGATTTATGCTGTTTTTATGAATGCAGGAGTTAAGTTTTAATAGGGGAAAAATAATGATAATAAAGTGAAATATTTTAGTGAACATGTCCATGAAACTCCAAAAGCGTGAGGATACATTTCTGCTAGTGGAGGGGGGGGGGGGGGGGGTCTGATGCCTTTCGCCCAATATCATCCTTTTTATAGTTCTAAAAACAGGAGCAAAGAGTATAGTATTTGTGTGGTAATATGTAATTTCGTCATCAAAATATTAAATGTAGATGACACATAAAAATACATTTTATTCGGACAAAACATTGCTTGATATAAGATGACGGGTGACCGAATCAATGATTGGTATTTTCGAAATCCAGGAATCGTACCCGTAGGCCTGGGCACGAGAGTGTTCGTAATCCTATCTAAAATCCAATTGTCACATCGTTTTTATTTTTATTCATGGTTTTGTTTTGTCCGTCTTTTAGGTCGGATGATGCCGAGAATCGAACCAGGTGAACAAGATTTCTTAACGACATCGCCATTCGTACATCCCATGTCACGTCTGATGAAAATGGAACGGTCACGCTCTCGGTCACCGCCTCCATCCCGATCGCCACGATCTCCACGCTCACCACGTTCACCACGATCACCTCGTGAGCTGTTCGGGGGAGATCGTGATGACGCAAGTCAGGAGGAGGAACGAAGAATTATGGAAGGTTTGTATATTTTTTATTCCAGTCTCTGTATTTCCATGAAAACCAATTGAAATATAAGCTTAAACGAATAATTTCATTCCAAAGGACGATTGGGGAATGTCTTTTCGGTGACGTAATGTGGATCCAGTCATTGACGGGGCAACAGCACCCCGGGGGAGGGGGGGGGGCGGCACTGGTCTTAAGCCTCGTTTAGATAATGATGCGGTAAACCGCGACGGTCTTTTTTGTGATGACGTAGTACATCTTATAACATTAACTGAGTGAATACTTAATGGACATTAATTTATCGCGAGCAGTTACCATTCATCTGCAAGTGAAACAAAAAGTGACGATGTGGGTTTTTTTTAACGGCGATCTACCGCGTCATATTTGAACGAGATTTTACTGTGTGGAGATGCATAGTTGGCTACGCCACTGGTTTCATAACATACCGTCCGGATCAAGATTCTATGTTCTCCTTGCATACCAAAGAGATCGGTTTGATAGTGGCCCGACATAACTGTTTATCCGGATCAATAGGACTCGGGCTCGGAAGTGAAATAAAACAAATAGGAAGAACTCGGGTTCGCAAATGCACTTTGGTAAATTCACAAAACTGTATTCTGATCAATTATTTCGACATCATTTATTATATTCAAACGACTATCTTTAGGGATGGGGTCAATGCCATCCATGATATTTTCAGCAAACAAGAAATCAAATTTCACGGGTCCCGATTTTGAGTTGTTTCTCCTAATAATATTATAGGTCAAAGTCTGAGAAATGATTTATGGTTATTAACGGGGCATTCTATTAATAATGATCCTACTTTGTTTTATTATCATTATAAACTATTCTTTGTATACAGCATTATTACAAATAGGTCTATCGAACATTTTGTTAATTTCTGCTATCCATTCCAGGTATGCAGCAGATGTCTGCATTTCATCCAAGCGGCAAAGGTTTTCCACATCACCTCATACCGGCCACCTCTCTAGCAGATATATCTCGGGCACCGGTGGCTTCTGCAGCAGCCGCCGCCGCAGCTGCAGCGTCTCGCCTCGCTGCAGCGACGGGGCTCTTCCTTCCCTTCGGAGCATCTGCAAACGGACCGCACAGTCTCGCTCTCTCGGCCGTAGCCGCGTCTGCCGCCGCTGCTGCAGCCGCGGCGTCCCCGAACCGCGGCGGTTTTCTACCGATGGGCAGAAATGACGCAACTGCATCACAACTCCAGCTGGCGCCCTTCCCACTCTTTGTCAATTCAGCCACGGGGTGTTGGACCATGATAAGACCTATGGAATTCACTCAAAACATGATGGATATGAAGACTGTATCTTTTACATGATGGATTGTAACTGGAGGAAAGATCGACAGTCTGGACAAAATTATATAATTTCCTGCAAAGAATGAAAATAAAACGAATAAGTAGAATATATTCATTTAAAGTTTATGATTAATTTTGTATTCAAATTAGAATTCGTCCGCTGATTATTAGATTTACATTAATGTATAACATTCCATTTAATTTTGGAATTTGTTAAGACTTTATTTCAGTTTGTCTCATATAACTACAGAAATGAAGCGAACCTCATAGGTACTAAATGTTTTCACTTATATTATTATGCACTTGTTTTTCTTTAAAAATAGTATGTAATTTTATTACTGGTCAAGTGGTTTCACATTTCATTATAATGATTTCTTTGACATCATCACACCATTAAGAACTTAGTGATAGAGTAGGTTCGTTAATTTAAAACAGGTAGATAATGGAAGCTAATTCCTTTTTTTAAATGAATCTATAGCCCTTTCTTTCAGCAATTATCTTCACGTTATCATATTCGATTTTTCACTTATTTCAAAAATTGATAGACAACGCTTTTAAAAATTGCCTAATAAAAATTTGTCGAAAGTCATTGCGATCATGTCTTTATAGTCGATGAAGAAATTCACAATGTATACTGATTTCTTCAGAATAACACCAACGTCTAAAAACAAACTGTTACATGAATCCATGTTTATTTGTGAAAATTTTCGTTCATACCCAACGTATTACTTATCAACCTGAATGTGTGTGAGACAACTCACATATTAATGTCGCAATAGGCCGAGGAAGAGAAAAAAGGTCAAGTAAATGCCAAACTTGCTGAACAAATACATTGTGGTCCGTTCAATTTACGTTTCTTGCTCATCGGTGTATTTGGCTACAAATTTAGTCATAATCCCGATTCGTGCTAGCAATCGGATCAAATTTTGGCTACTTTCAAATACCTGCAAATGCCCACTAATACAGAATTGTAAAAAAGGTCACATAATAATATGTAATCCATTGAATCAATTAGCATTCAATATACCTGAAGTAATGTTGAAGTTGTGAATTTGATATCGGGTTGTTTATAAAATAGTCTAGCCGTACGCTTTGCAAAATAGTGTCACCTGCAAAGTTCAAAGGTGACAGGTTGGATAATTTAGTTTTGATTTTAAATAGCATGAAAGATTGCCTGGGAACAAAATAAGGAACAAGTTAATTTAGATCTAAAAGATGGAACGCTGGAATCCACTGAAAACATTAGGATGTTGACTGGTACAGTTGCATCGTAGATGTATCAAGCGCTATATAAACACAGAATCTTGTTATCTATCATTACGTCTGCATGAATGTATCGTTATCCAAGCCGTTAGCATGAGATGATTATAATTTTCGACGCATTTGTTAACTGCAATTTTCGTTAACCACACCAGCAATGCAGAGACCATGGGGGCACCATGGGTAGGGGCAAGTCACACCCCGGCTAGTTCTAGTCAAATACAATATCAGATATAAAGGTCTTCGTTTGATTTTCTAGCTTGCTCCTTTTCATTTTACGATTGGCCGAGGCTTACTCCTTCTGATCCTGGTGTCATCACTGTGCATATTAATTATTTTTGTTTAATCCATTCTTATAAGAATAAAAACTTATAAGAAATCGACCATAGAACATACAAATTAGTAAATATGTAGGCCTAAATTGATCCAACGAATGATCAACTTTGAATTTGACTTTATGTTTTAGGTTGTACTTCGATCAATATGAAAAATAAAACCTAAAAAATTGCCAGAAACTATGAATTTGCTAACAGAAAACAGATCCAAAGTACTTTCTTTTGCATTTATTGCTTTATTGTAGTGAGAATTTGTAGAATGTCTATCATCTTATATATATTTTGTATTTGGGCATTATTGCTGCTGAATATACAGCAGAATGCACTGTGAATACCACCGTCACTATTTATATTTCTAATCTCTGAATCTGTTCAATAAGATATAAAAAGACTGAGATGCAACTTCAAACATGTTCATGTAGTACTAATGACTTGTTCATCCTTCTGTATGTTTGATTAAAATGAATAATAGGTGCAATAAAGTGCAATATCATATCATAATA